CGGAGGGCAGGGCCCTCCACAGGAGCTCCCCAGGCTGGAATTTTTATGACCCAGGTTCCTATACAGAAATATGGAGTTGAGATTGCTTATTACTTGGTTTCAAGGAATGCAGAAACCAAGGGGCTGGGGAGATGGCTCAGCAGTTAAGAGCACTGGCCGAGGACCTGGGTTTGATTCCTGACACCCACCCACATGGCAGCACACATCCTCACACAGGAGGGTGAAAGGGAGGAAGAGGGAGGGAGGACGAAGAGAGGAAGGAAGGGAGGGAGGGAGGGAGAAAGAGAGAGAGAGAAAGAGAGAGAGAGAGAGAACTGAGGTAGTCTATATGTTCATCTACTCACTTGTAGCCATATCACAATGTACCCCAATCAAAATATCACATCTTGAATATATGCAATTTCTATTTCTCAGTTATACTGCAATGAAGCTGAAACAGACAAACCAACCGAGCTGGTGACCTGTGGCAATGGCTTTGGGAGTCACACTGTGGGAAATGCTGCAGTTCCAAGGCCCTGCATGTTTCCCCCAGCCCAGGCCTAACTCCATTTGTGTTTGCTCTAAACCACCAGGACTCTCCCTCTGCAGGACCACTTTGCAGCCCTCCCACAATCATCCTGACGGGGGATACCAGTTCACCTGAAGGAGAAGCGGACAGAAACCTGATCAACAGGTACACAACCCAGGCAGATGATCAATATCTGTATTTCCAGAAAGACTTTCTTCTTCTCTGATAAAGACACTATCAAAGAGGACTGGGGACAGAGCTCACTTGGTAGCTTGCTTCTTGCTATGCTGTATGAAGCCCTGGGTTTGATTCCCAGGGTCATAAACTGGGTATGCTGGGGTATACCTGTAACCACAGCACTCAGGTAGAGACAGGAGAGCAGAAGTTCAAGGTCACCTTTGGCTACATGGGGAGTTCAAATCCAGCCTGGGATACAAGAACCTTATCTCAAAAATAAATATTATCAGGTAGCTTTTCAAAATGGGAAAGAGAATTTAGGATTATTTTCTCCATTATCTTCTTTCCCAAAATGATATACTTGCTCTTGGTTTGGCCCTGTGAGATTTTAGGAAAACACAAGACATCAAAGCAGGGAAAATTCTCATGCTATCTGCCCAGGTATTCCCACACAAATCTGGAGGATATGAGTCTTTGACTATAGAATCTTGTTGTGGACAAACCACGTCCTCCTGCTGGATCAACATTACAGGGATGCCACTGCCCCTGTTTCTATCACCATTGGTCTAACCGGAATAAGGTTGTCTAGGTATCATGTTTAATAAAATTTAAAAGATAATTCTATGGAATGGGGTTCCAGGTTCATGGGAAGGTGCTGGCCTATCAAGTACAAGCCCTGGCTTTGACAGACAACACTACAGACATTAGTCAGAGGGTAATTCTCATACAACAGAGTGAGTATACATGTCAAAGCCTTCTTCACCCATGAATTAAGGGTAGAAGCAAAAGGGCAGAGTGAATACCAAGGAGGATGTAAGAAATGAATATGCATGTCTAATCAATATGGGAGGGGGTGGAAAAAGCCAAATAAAATTGTGAAGTTATATAAGACAGCTTCATGGGGCTGGGGAATCGGCACACACTGTTCTTACAGGAGACCTGAGTTCTCACCACTCAAAGTGGGTGGTTCACAACCATCTGTAACTCCAGCTCCAGGAAAATCAGATGCCTTGGCCTCTGCATGCATCTGCATACACATGCATACATAATTAAAAATAAATCTTTAAAAAGAGCTTTCTGTAGCCAGGCAGTGATGGCACACACCTTTAATCCCAGCACTCTGGAGGCAGAGGCAGGCAGATCTCCGTGAGTTCCAGGCCAGCCTGGTCTACAGAGTGAGGCCCAGGACAGCCAAGTCTACACAGCAAAGCCTTGTCTCAAAAAACCAAAACCAAACAAGCAAACAAAAAACCTTCATGTTTCAGGGCAGTGAAACCATGTTCTGATTTTCTCTCTCAAAAAGAGATCATTCGTGTCTCTACCAGCCCCTATGGATATTTTATGAGGTTTCCACAGGAAACCTACACAGTGGTAAAGTTTCATCCCTTGAGAGTGGGCTTGGATTCCTTGAGTGGGCACCAGAGTGACATAGAGACTTGCTGAGTCAGTGGTGCTCCCAGGGGCTCTGAGGTGGGAGACTGGAGTATGGCCTGGGAGTTCATGCTCCCAAAGTGACAGTCAGAGGATGCCTGAGTGTGCCCATAAGATGATGTTCTGGGGTGACACTGAGAGACTGTAATGGCAGCTCGTTTGTCCATCTCTGAGTAGATGTCCTAACAGGATGACTATGTCTTGTCTTTCAGAGCTCCCAGCCCCCACCGAAGGCTTTCCCACAGACAATTGAAGGCTTCCACAGCTTCGCTGACTTCTGTGGGTAAGAGCTGGCTCAATATGAGGATGTGTTTAGCAGGCATGAGCTGGCTGCGCTTAGTCACACTCAGCCCTTTTCCTCTCCCCAAGCCCAGAGAGTAGAGGAGTTCAGCCTCTCCATGTTTGGGTCAAGAAGAAATGATGTCTAGTTTCAGTGTGAGAATGAAGAGGAAGATGAGGAAGTCAGCGAAGACAGGAAAGCTAAGCAGCACTGGGCTCAAGGGGCAGAATCATGGAGCTGTACTGGGCAGGTCCAGGTACAGGTGGGAGAGTGCCCACGTGAAAGGCTGGTGGCTATGATCCCCTGCTGGTTCCTCCTAATGTTTTTTCATACCTTCATGGGACCATTAAAGGACAAGGGTCACATAGACTTGGTCTTTGTATCCAGTGTTGATTACACTATAGAAAGGGATGGGGAAGTGAGCCCAGGAGTTGATAAAGGCCCATTCATGAGAGAACTAAGGAAACCAAGGTAAGAAGGGGCCAGCTTCTCCCAGGGGAGGGGAAGATGTGCGGATATTCCATGGAAAGTGGTGTTTGAGTTTCCCCTTAAAGAGATGGACACACAGGAGGGAGGGATGGCTCTCTAGGTGGAAGAAGAGATGTGGTAGGAAGCAGGAGCCACCCAGAGTACTATAGCAACCAAATGCCCAAATGCTGGGACTCGTATTGTGCCACAACGACTGCAAATCATGGAGCCGCCAACTGCCCCCCTCCCTGTCTTCCTTCACCACTGTTTTTTTCTCCTTCAGGGTCTATGGTTTCAGGTACTGGTGGGATCCAGGTCCTCAATTTGGGTTATTAGTTATTGTACCATTCCATCTCGTATCTCCTTTAACGTGTGAGCCGCCTCCTTGGGAAGACTTTTCACTCATGGGAACAAACATCTGGCTGCACCTCCATGCTCACATTCATCTATGACATCCTTCTCCCTCTCAGCTCCCATGACTGCTTCTCACTAGCTTCATGTGGTCTTCCCTAGCCCATCCCTGTGGCTGCCTAGACGGCATTGTTTGACTAGCCAAAAGTGGTTTGGAACCCACTCCCACTCAACCTTGCTCTTGAAGCAGAGTTGTGGGTGGGATGCCTAGCTCCTCCTGAGTCGTTTAACAGTGATTCAGAGGGTTTCCCCTGGTGAAAATGAAGAGCTACTCCTGGAAGAGGCATGAATGGAGGCAGGGGAGGCAGACTGGGAGCTAACCACAGAAGGTCTGGAGTTGGGACAAGGTCTTGCAAGGAGGATGTAGGGCCAGCACAGTTGGTGACCTGTTTAGATGTGACACTGGGAACTCTGAGGCAGGAGAACAGCATGATCAGACATGGCTACTGGAAATGTCACTCTGTAGACAATAGACCATGGGGCAGAGAGATTGGTTTGAAGCCAGGGGCTTTTCAGGGGGCTGATGTAATTGTTCAAGTAAGAGCTTATGAGCAGGAATAGAATTGGGGAAAGTCCTAGGGACACTTATAGGTAAATGCTATGCCTTGGCCAGGTTTGGACATGGAAACTGAGGAGGAAGGAGTGCCTGGAGTGACCATTATTCCTTGAGCACCTGGCAAGAAGATAATGCCACCCACTCAACTCGTCTAGAGCACTTCTGGAGAAGGGGTAGTTTGGGGAAGGATGAGCGGCAGAAAGAGAAAGGTGGCCATCGGATTGCAGCTGGGGCTTGGGACACAGCGTTGAGCTTTATCCCTAGCTACACATTGACTAACTACCTTGTAAAGAAACAGCATTAAAGCAGGACTCCCTTTAAAGAGATATTAGGACAACTGTGGGAACCAAAGCATACTTCATGAACCTTTCTGATAGGCTACAAGCTAGAGGAGCTAGGCCTACTGAGGAAGCCACTGTCTGCCCCCATGCCCTCCATCCTGACATGGGCATAGAGCTGAGTTCTGAGGTGACAGAGCCTCTAAGGTGAGTTGACTCTTGCTGGGAGCTCATTCACTTTCTACAGACCCCACGGGACATGTCATTGACCTGGTAAATGACCAGCTGCCGGACATCAGCATCTCAGAGGAGGACAAGAAGAAAAACCTGGCGCTTCTGGAAGAAGCCAAGTCGGTGAGTGAGCGATTCCTGACCCGCCGCGGGAGGAAATCAAGGAGCAGCCCCGGAGACTCCCCGTCAGGTAGGGCAGGACCAGCAGCAGGGCAGGTAGCTGCCCTGAGCCCCCTGAGGCCAGGCTGAGGGGAGGGAGGGGAGGACCAGGCCTCAGCTGCAAAGGGGACCTTGTTTCTGAGAGGGTGGTCTTCAGGTGGCCTGTCCCCTTTGCTTCCAGGTTCTAGAATGCCTAAGCCTGGCAGAGATGACCCCTCAAGAAGCCATTGTGCTCAGCTTCCAGAGTTCCAAAACATCTAGCCAGCTCCATCTCCAAGAACTCTCCTAGGCTCTGCTTTTAGACCTTCCCCATGTGTGGACAAATGTTATTGCATATGATACCATGTTCTTATTTGGTTTCAGCATCTCTCCTTTATAAATGCCTAAGTCTTTAGCTCTCATGCAGAGAAACCCTGTACAATCCCCATGTGCACAAACCCTTTTGTGGCCCTGCACAACAGAGTCTGTCTAACATTCCCACCCTCCCTATGAAGACCCTGCTCTATGGTGGGCATCTCCCCAGCAAAGGTCTGAGGAGGCTGTCTGGGTTCCCTCACCCTCATCTCCCATTCTGGAAAAGAGACAGACCTTGAGGGAATTTCTGGGCTAAAGAGATGATTTTCCTGGGACCCTCTGCCATGCTGTACTGTGGTCCTCTCCTTCCTGAGTGCAAAGATGAAATGCATTTTGGACTAGTCCAAATGACCTTGGAGGACAAGAAGAGTGTTTGAAATCAGAGTGGTCCTATAGCATCTATAAAGTGCAGCCTTGTGTGCTTTTCCTGTCAAATAATGCCAAGTTCACAGTTTCTGCAAAGTTCTCTGAAGTCAGGTCCAGCAGGCTAAGGAATGTGACCCTACATATTGAAAATTACCTGAGGGTCCCTCTGCTGGGCTGGCCATAGCAGAAGTTGAGTTGTAAGAGGAGCCTTATATGGCATTCCAGAACCAGCCTCTGACCTTGACAAGGCAGTCTGGGTTCCCATGGATGGAATCTCCCTGAGAGGATCATTTCTTAGGTGGAAGAAGTCCTAGCCCTTCATGAATGCCAGCCAGGTGTTGTTTGTTTCCACAGCTGTTTCCCCAAACCTCAGCCCTGGTGCTTCTCCTGCACCTTCCAGGAGCTGTTCGCTCACTATCTCCACACCACCAGGTGAGGCTGACTCTGCTCTGCCCCAATGGGGGCAGATATACAGGCTTTGAGGAGTGGGAATAGTATGGCAGACAGCAAGAGACAGGCTGAGTGAGGATAGGGCCGAGGTCACAGGAAGGCAACTATGATGGGTGTTCTGTGCAGAGAAAGACCATCACAGATTATTTTGAATTCTCTTGTTTGGACCACTATGAGTTTCATTTGTTCTTGTGCTTCCGGGGGTTGAACCTAGGTCCTCACACATACTGGGTAAGCACTGAGCTACATCTCCAAGCCTCGTATGCATTTCAGTTTCTTCCTTTCTGGGCTGTGTCCAGAGCCGCACCCTCAGGCATCAGAGTACCACGGTGGGCAGCCTGCCCTCGTCAGTGCTGGAGGGCAAGCCCAGGATCCTACATTCACAGATGCTTCCTGATTATCAAACCTTGAGGTCCCCCATGACTCAGTTTCCTTATTTGGTTTCTATGGTGATTTAATGTTGGCAGGTGAGCAACAACCATGTTTTGGTTGCCAGATCTTACAACAGAGGGCTCAAAGAGGTTTGTGTTGTTGGTGTGTTGTATGCATGTGTGTCGGAGATGGGTGAATCGATGTTAAAGTGACAAGTATGGGGCTAGGTGATGGGGCATCACTTACCTTCGCTGGCCCATTGCAGGTTTCGACACATGCAGTGGCCCACAGCCCCCTTTGCCTGGAGGACCACCACAGGTAACAACACACCTGTGTGCTTCTTCTAGGCCAGCAGATCTCTTGTTCCTAACTAATCCCTGGACCCTCCTTAACCCCTGAATGAGGGAGGTGCTGGGGAGAGGGCAGCATTTGCACCCTGCTAGGCTTCAGGAGGAAGCAGGCCTCTTTCCACTGCTGCTGACCTGTGTTTTCTTCCTCAGCAAAAGGGGCATGAGGCCGCCATCTCCTCACCTCACCTCGGAGAGCCTGTAAGTTTGTGCTTTGCAATGATTTGAATGTGGGGAATGTGGTCTCAGTAGCCTAGGCCGGCCCCTGAGCAGCCCACAGATGTGTGGACATGGATGTGAGTAGAAGGTGGTGCCAGGGCGAGCAGAAGACTCCTCTCTTATGAGATGGAAGCCTGAGAGGGAAAGAGGTAAGGCAGGCCCCATAAGGGTTGTCTGCACCCCCAAATCCATCCGGTCAGACATAAGAGCTGCTCCTCTCAGCTCCAGAGAAGTTGCAGGGAATCTGGGACTCTCATACTCCATTTGCATATCTATAAATAGGCCTCTTGTCAAGGTCTGAGTCCCCTCAGCCTGCTTCCAGGTCCCCATTCTACCTTGTCTCTTTCAGAATGTCTCCAAAGGGCTAGCTGACCGGAAGCAGAATGACCAGAGGAAAGTGTCTCAAGGCAGACTGGCTCCTCGCTCTCCCACAGCAGAGAAATCCAAAGAACTTACAGTAGAACAAAAAGAGAACTTTGATCCCCTTCAGCATCCAGAGGCCACACCCATGGCTCAGGCTTCTGGAGCAAGCATCAGTGGGAAAATGGCCCTGAACAGCCCCCAGCCTGGCCCTGCTGAGATGGAGCTCGGGAGGCAGCTCCTGAAGACAGCCAGGGAAGGCAGTCCTCTGCCCAGAGGCACAGCCCAAGCCTCAGGAGGAACTGGCTCTCCACTTCCCCAGGGACAAGGCTCTGCTGGAGAGCCTGTGGGGCACAAGGCTGGCTCCAAAGCTGAGCTACGGTCCCCTGTGTCCCGGCCTCCCTTGATACGAGGAGTTTCCTGGGACAGCAGCCCTGAAGAACCTGGTCCCCTGCTGCAGAAGGTACTTGCCAAGCTGCCTCTGTCAGAGGAAGAGAAGCGGTTTCCAGGCAAAGCCAAGCCAGCCAAGCCACCTGGGCTCAAAGACTTCCAGATACAAGTACAGCCAGTGCGCATGCAGAAACTGACCAAGCTCCGGGAGGTGGGTTCCTGCCCGGCCGCACAGTGTGTGCACACCAGATCCCCCATGTGCTATAGACTTTCGCACCCAGGATCGGCCCTGGGACAGGGCAGCTTTGACCTCAAGGAGTTCCAAATTTCTTGACCCTGAGAAGCTGGTCCCATCAGTATCACATCTCCATAGCAGCAGCTTCGGGTGCCTTTTGCTCTGCTAATAGATAGAAGTCCACCCAAGACAAGTGGTCACACTTAGCCACACTTCAGGGGAAGTTGGCCATATGGATTTCTTATCCTGCCCTGTCTTCCTCCTCCAGCTAGAAATGGTGACAAGAGCCTTTGATGGACTATCTTGCCATACCTAGAATTGGGCAGACCAGGATAAACGTGCTTTTCTTTTGTAATGGCATCTAGCCTGTCTTCCTGATACCTATTAACCAAGGTTCTTAGACCCAAGAACCACTACGACAATGTTAGACTTACAGTTAGGGTTAGGGGTTAGGGGTTAGGGGTTA